AGGTGCTGAGGCTGTGCTCCAGCCAGGATGAGAGAGAGAAAGACCTTTAACTGATTGTGCAACAAAACGTGAGGTAACAGGCCAAAGAGTTTATGTGCATTTCTGTTGCCTAGGTTTTTTGGGCTCTTTTCCAATGCACCTAATGGACTGGAAAAGAGGAACAAACTTTTTTGAGCTCTCACTTTACAGATGACCACACAAAACCTACATGTGACCTACAGCTCATATTACATTTTATGACTCAAATTGAGATCTGGTGTTAAGTGGAGCACTACTCTCTTACAGCAGGGATGAATTTGCTGCTATATTATAATACACAGGTTCAATTTTATTCTCCTGTCTAGATTTCGGGTTTTACATTATGCAGATCACACATCATTCAATAGCTGTTTACGTCACGTTTCAGCAGCAATCATAAGCTAATGGCCATTCTTTAATTTCACTCACAATGAAGAGTCAGTCAAAAACCAGAACACTGAGTGTCAGAGAAGCCAGACAATACTAACTGCTTTTCAAGCACTCATTTTAGGGCTGGAACCAGAAGGTAGGAATTAGGACTAAACTTTTCTACTGTTGGGCAAAGAGAGGAGTGAAGGGAGAGAAAAGCCTGTTAAATGTGTCCATAACGCTTTGGAAGGAGAAGAGGACAGGCTTCCCCGCATATTTTCCCTGTCTCCAACACCATCGAAAGCCCCTCTGCATGAACCCTTCTGAGATGAAAGTTCTTCAGTATGTTGTAATAATAAACAAAGAGACGAGGGTCCAATCAAGTATAAATTGTGTACGCAACCATGATCATTTCACAATACAGAGACAAATCAGAGGAGAGCTATTGTACAGTATATTAGTGAGAACTACAGTGATGTGGGGATAAAGTAGTCATGGTAAGTATGATATTATAAGAATGCTACACTACCGCTTACAGTACAGAGTATGTGGTGATCATTTTCCAATGTACCTGCCCAAAAGTTAGTCATCTAAATTGATACTGAGGCACATAACAAATTAGCCTGATTTTCAGAGATGTTGAGCCCTCTCTGCTCCCATTGACAATATGGATTTAGGTATATCACTTGGATAACTTTACCTATGCTTTACAGGACACTCAATTTGGGGTGGATATTTTTTTCTAACCTAAAATTCTTCTTTAAAATATTATTAAAGACTTACAAATATAATTGTTATATATTTAAGTCTAACACAAAAAAGTCTTGTGTTATAATCTGATTTTGAGGTAAATTAAGTGCTATGAAACTCTTAAATATTCCCTTGCATTAGTTGTTCAGCCTAAAACAATGTATAAAATAATTTATAAAGCTTTCTTTTCATTTACTAAATTTTTATAAAAGTCATTTCATATTTAAATTCATTTCTCTGTAATAAATTCTAGATTTTTCTTATGTATAATACATTTTATTTGAACATTGTCCATGTACAGGAGAAAAAAGGATCGTGTTTACAATTTCACTGTTTTTAGAGCACCCTACAAAATATAAGGTATGTCACACACTAGGTGAAGAAAGATTGTTCCATTTTTAAACAATTATTGTAATATTCATGATATTTTGGTGGCTCTGTTTATTATAAAAAGACAGGATATCACCATATTGAGGCAGAGGTGTTGTCCAGTCTTAAGCATTTGACTGGGAGGAAGGAATTCCCAAGCTTTCTCCCTCTATGGCCGTGGGCAAATCATTTAACTTCTCTGCCTCAGTTTCTCCACAAGTAAAATTAAAATAATTCTTACTTAGCAAGGATGCCTTTAAAATGTCAACATTCACCCACATGGTTTTATCTAAGATTATTACAGCATTTCCTATAGTTAGAATAGGTCTTCTCATTCCTACTTGATCTATGGCAAAAGGAACCTCCATACACAGATTCCTATGTGGACAGAGAAGGAGGTCAGCCACCATTCCACCCTCCCCTTAAACGTCAAATTGCTTTCTTTGGGTCCAGGAATCTGCACCAGCGAATGGAAAGAATCTCTACTAGTGAAACCTTGAAGGCAATTCCTCCCGACCTCATCCGGTAGGCATGTTTCCATGGAAAAAGAGGTGATAGGATGGACCCATTGGTATCTCAGTTGTCCGTGATATAGCCGTACACAAGTGCTGTCTCTTTTCAGTTCTGAGCACTGGACCTTCAACTTCCTAAAACAGTTAAGGTCAGACTCAGATACACTTATGTTGAACAGTGCTTTACTCCATGAGTGATCCCAATAAAAGGTTATTCAACACAAGTAAGCATATCAGAATCTGAGTAGTGCCTACAAATTACACCTATTGTACTCAGGGAGAATGAAAGCATTGTATATATTGCAGCATATTGAATTGGTGCTCCAGTTAGCTCAACAACTATTTTAATAATTTGCCTAGCACACTATACAGATATTAACATTCCATCGAGACCTTCTGTAAAGGACTTGCTGCATGTATATGTACATACTAATTTTACACTTCTGTTTATATCACAAGATCTTTGAGGTTTACTACACTAAATTGCACAAGATTTATAAGACCTTCATTTTAGCAAATTTGTGTTTGCATGAGATATCTCAATATTTCACAGTAAGGCTTATGAGGTTTCCCTAGCAACTGACGACATTGAGCATCACTGCTGAATACAATGGGGCTGATCCTCAGCTGGCATAAATTGTCTCTGCTCCATTCCCTTCCATTGACTTCAATTGAGCTACAGCAGTTTACACCAAGTGACAATCTGCCGCTCTGTCATTCCATGTTAGTTGCCGTGGGCCAGACTGTGATACTCTCACTCACGTTTGCCAGTTCCATAATTCCATCGACTTCAATGGTATGTCACATGGAGTAAGGTTTTATATAATGGGTGAAATCCTGGCCTCACTGAAGTCAATGTGAGTTTGCCATTGACTTCAATGGTGCCAGTATGTCACTCATACGTGTACACTACCCACTGGATCGGCGGGTAGCGATCCATCTATCGGGGATCAATTTATCATGTGTAGTGTAGACACGATAAATCGATCCCTGATTGCTCTCCCGTTGACTGCTGAACTCCAGCTCGGCGAGAGGCAGAAGCAAAGTTGACAGGGGAGCCACGGCGCGCCGCAATGACGCGAAGTAAATAATTTTAATTCGATCTAAGATACGTCGACTTCAGCTACGCTATTCTCATAGCTGAAGTTGCATATCTTAGATCGATCTCCCCCCCCCCCCAGTGTAGACCAGGCCTCAGTGTGAGTCTTTTTCTTAGTGTATGTGCAATTGCGCAATGTGCCTCGGGTGGCACGTGACCAGGATTCATCACCGAATTTGGTCTGCTGGTTGGATCATTAGCTTCCCCAGCATAGGTGAGGTACTGACGGGGAGTGCGATTTGAAACACATCACAGTGTGTAGCTAGATAACATTCTAATCTGAGATGATACATATAGTTATAATTTTAAAAATCTCACAAATAGCTTTAAGAAATTGCACAGCTCAAATATGTAGATAATTTTAAACATCTCAGAAACAAAGAAGAGGGAAAGAAGTTATTCAAATCTGGATCACAAATCAAGCTTAGAAAACAATATGGAAATTGCCATTAAATGGCAGGCAAGTAATGACATTCAAATTGCAACAGAAACGAATGTATCTCATGAATCAAAATGCTGTATTCTATAATGATATGCACAAAGCTCCCTTTCCTCTCCACTGCATTCACTTCTTACTAAGGTCTCAAGAGCTCTCTGTATTTCATTATCAAGCTAAATTCTGACCCAGTTTCATAATTGCCTGGAGGATACAGGGAAGTGGTAGCAGCATATTAACTACATCAAAGGACATAAAATACAAGTGCCATGCTGATATTAGCAAAATGCTAGTCATTGTCTGTAAAAGAACCCTTCATATTTTAATAGTTAACCCATCCTAATATTTAGAAGTTAGATTTAAAGAGAGGTAAAGAATATAACAAATTAGAAGTATTTGGGGAAGCATTACCCTTCCTATATACGCTGAATTGCAGCCATTATATCATATTAGTAACTTGTCTGGGACTTCATCCTACTCCTTTTAATCAAGTTCATTTGAAGCTGACCAAAGCCCTAAATGCTCTACAGTAATGCCATATAACATAATATTATGCAGTATGGAAATTTTAGTGTATTCGAACCCTTTTGCGGCAATCTATTTATTTTAGTTGCACTTAGCATTATGGAACTAGCAGTACATTAGTGAGGTCTGATGAAGGTGCTAGATGTGTACAAGCATTCTTCAGCTATGTTAATAGAAGGTATAAGCAAATGTGATACAAAGTGACATGTTAAAAGAATCCCTCAAACACAAGACTTTTATACAGGGTTAGTATAGGGATAGTATTCTCAGCTGCATTTAAGATCTTCTTGCACTGGTAAACATGAAGGAATTATGAGGAATTTTGATTGTGAGTCAGTCATAAAATACCATCTTTTTGCTATGCTTAGAAAATAAGCAAACATACAATTTCACTTATGATGTTGCAAACTCATATAATCTCAAAGTCTTATTATTCCTTTGATCAAGCCTGTGCAAATATCTGAGTGAGTGAAAATCATATTGCAAGAAGAATGTGTGATGAGGCCAATTCCTTAATATAAACATAGTCAATGCTCTTAGTAGGGAAAAATACCAAAAATAGGTAGTTAATGCTTTTGGGTATTCTCGCACTGAAGGTCAAGCATTCATTTTTTTAATTTAAAAAGTATTACTGCATATAAACTGAACAGTACCAGAATGCCTACAATCTATAGATATACATAGTTATGTTTTGTGAACAAGACTGTATACATTCAATTAATCTCAGTTTGAGACCTATGGCACCCCAGATATCACAGAGTTGAGAAGCAATTTAGATTCAGTAAAGTATATCATTCAAATATACATTTTAAAAATATTTTTTCACAAGTTCATCAACAAAAATTCCTGCTTGGTTTTAAAATGAGGAAGAGTCAGTGTGTTATTAATAATTGCATCAGATGTAAACTATGTGACACATCTGTAGTTTTCAAGCATTTAATGGTTTGAAAATGCTGATAATCAAAGACACATTCAAGTGCATTGCTTCAATTTGAAGTGTACTGTACCATATCAGAGCTACTAAATATTTCAATGCTAATGCTAACATTGTGATTCTCTGACTTCAGCTCTCTAAAATATTATCATTCTTCTGATATCAGGGATATCCAAACTTTGTGAAAAGAACCACATCGACAAGTTACCAGGAGACTAAGACCCACATGCAGTTTAGACAGAAGGTATATGGACCAACATTTTCAAACTTGGGCTACTAAATCTGTACTTAGACACCTAGATAAGAGGTCTGGTTTTCAAAGGTTTTCAAAATGAAAAATTAATGCACACATCCATAACATTTGTGTGCTCTTGTATTTTCCTTCATAGAACAATTGCTGCAGGTTTTTATAGGACTACCCATCTCTGGTAATTCAGTGCATTCCACAGAAAGGCGCAGACGTTTTTTCATATCTACGAATTCTAATGTTGTCTGCTACTTGTTTGAATTCACTGACAATAAACGTCTGAAGTTGATCACCTTTCTCTTTGCTCTATGATTATAGAGAGGGAGCAGTAGCAGGCAGCTACTCTCCTGGGGACGCACTTTGGACATGTCTAGATTACATGGGGGGGAGTACGCTAACATTCATATGCCATGCCAACCATATGGAAAGTCCTTACCAAACATTCCTCTTTTCAAGTATTGTGATCACATGGTTGAACGGCAAGGGAAGTTACGTGCAGCCTTTTAAGTAGGATACCATCCCAACAGATACAGCTGGATTGACAACTAAAGACCTGGTCCTTGTCTTCAGCAGAACAGTTTGCAGGATCGGGTCCTAAATGATAACATGCTGATATATACTGTTCACTTCTTAGCATATGAATCACAGCTACTATTGTTAAACTGAAGGGGAAAGCACCTGAAAGGCAGAATAATCTAGTTAGACAAGGCAAGGTTTTGCCCCCTTGTGTTGTTTGGCTTTGCATTGGTTCTTCTATTTCTATTCACAGCTTCCAGTGAGGAAATTTCCTTCTCAGGAGTCTAATTCCTCCATCACTTCCATGACAATAGTTCGAGGGCCAGTCAGAATGAGATTGCTCACGGTCCTGTAGTCCACATGGAGAACATTGAGTCCATTCACAGAAACCACAAACTGACAGACCTACAGAGAAAAGAGAAGGGATGTATTACAATTGCGGTGGACTTAGGCTTCTCTTTGTGGTAGCAGATGCTGCAATACTGACACTGTATTCTACTCAATCAGTTCATTTCTCCAGTGGAACTAAAATTCATACATTTTTTCAGATCTGCTGATACCCTGCCAATAAATAACTAATAAATAAATAAATGGAAAATAAAATAATAATAATACCTCACTGAAAGAGTTCAAATACACCAATATGCAAGGGGTTAATTCCCTGTTTAACCCACTTGCTTCTTATGTCTGAAAAGATGAAAAGGGATAGGTAATGAGGCAGGCTCCTGATTGACTATTCAACTAGATGCTAAGTATCTAAGAACCTGATCCAAAATTCATTGAGTCTTTCCATTGACTTCTGTGGGCTTTAGATCAGGCCCTACACTAGAGAGTCAATGAAGAAATAACAGAGGATAGCAGGAATCAGCTCAATTCTGATAATTATGGAGACTCGGGCATTTAGACACTATGGTGTTGGATACTGACCAGAACCAGCCAAGGCAAACCAGAATGATAAGATGTAATGCTTAATGCTTCTCTCTCCCTGGGCCTTTTTGTCTGTAGGAATAATTTTTTTTGGTATGAAAACAGACAAGAGCTACATTTGGCACACATAAGAGTTCTATAGTTTTGAAGGATTCCATCACTTAAAGGTTAATTTCCAATTATAGATGTCAGGAATATCACTGGAAACAGCAGGATCGTTCAAAACTGTGGAATTTTTAACTACTCTCACTGTATCATTCAATTTTTCATATAATACCATGATTCACATGGTGCTTTACAAATCTATAGGCCAATAAGACTCTGAACCCAAACAGTCTACAGTCTAAAGCCCTGATTAGTGCTGTTGAAATCAATAGCACTAATAATAGTCAAATTAAACACATGCATACGTGTTTGCCTAAGGGCATAGAATCAGGGCCTAAAAGTGAAATCCTAATCCCACTGAAGTCAATGGCAAGGATTTCACCCTAAGAGTCCAATTCTGTGAGATGCTAAGTGCCTATAATGAATGGGAGTTAAAGTCACTTAGCACTAGAGTTAGTCAGAAAGTGCCAGTTATTATTATTATTATTTTTTTTTGCAGGACATTTTGTAGAAAAACTTTTGTTTCTCAATTTCCTGAAAATATTTTTCAGATTTTCATCAAAAAACTGACCAATTTTAGGAAGTGAAACACTGTCAGTTTCAAATGTATTTATTTTTTAATCAAATGAAATGAACATTTTCAATGAAAAATGGCCACTTTCTGACAAACAATGTTTGGATACAAAATATTTGACCTGATGTATTTAGCACTTAAAAAAGTTAGAATCACGCAGAAAGGAGGAGGCCATGCCATTCATGCTAAAAAGGCCAGAACTGTGGATTGGAAGAAAAAGACAATGTTATTCATTCCCCAGTGAAATGCAGCCCCCTCTGAGTCTAATCAAAGTATTCTATAAAGTTACAATGTTTGTAGTTTTTGAATCAATGTTTTTTAAAGGTATGGCATTACTTTTTTTTTTTTTTTTTTTTACTGCAAGTAAAATAATTGTCACAGAAATGTTTCATGAAAAGGATACTTTTGTCGTGAATTTACCTTATTCGTAACTGATAATGAATGCACCTTAAACCCACTTTAACTGTGAAAGATGTTTATATTCTAATCTGTTGTGGTTTAGGGAGGCAATGTGATATAATGGTTAGAACAGAGAACTAGGAAATAGGGTACCTAGTTTATATTACTGTTTCTGCCACTGATTCTTTGTGACTTTAGCTAAGGTTCTTAACTTCCGTGCCTCAATATCCCTTTCAGCAAAATGGGGATCTCATGGGGCTGTTGTGAAGCTTCATTCATGTTTGAACGGTATTTTTATATTATTCACTGAAAGGTTCTATAAAAAAACAAAGTATTATTGGGGCGGTTGTTTTGTCATGTCAGGTTTAAGAAAAATTATGGATGAGTCAAGGCCATTTGTTAAAAAGCTCTCAAATCTGATGAACAGTATGGCCCCTGTGATTTCATCTTCACTCCTCAGACCCTGTGTGCCATTACAGGAACAGCAGCAGATGTCTCTAACGGCCAGCTAGGTCTCTCTCCCTATCTCACCCCCCCCCTCCCCAATCTCTTCAGTGTATTCCAGGGTGGGGACTCCTGGGATTCAGCCTTGCTGGTAGTCTGGACAGTCAGCAAAGTGGGATGATGATTCTATTAGAGTTTTGATGATAAAATGCCTAGAGGGTATGTGCTTTGTCAAGAAGTCACAGCATGGACAAGACCACTGCATTCATTTTTTATTAAAGAAACAAAGGGGAAGGGGGAAAAGCTCCTGGGGGGGAACTGAACCGTTTTGCAACAAGGGAGCTATTATTCTGCTGTCATCCAGTTTCTAAAAAATATTGTTGTTCAATTTCTGAAATGTTGGCTGAAATATTGCATGGCAGTTGCTGACAAGGGGCTTAACGAACGGGCTAGCACTTTGCTTGCTAGATTTCTCACTTGCCATATTAGGCCTGGTGGACATAAAGATCTTGCACGAATATAACTATGGCAGTTAGGGATGCGATTTTAACCAAAATAATAACAGTACAACTGCTAATGTGCATGCAGTTATACCAGTATAAAGGTGCCTTATGCCAGTATAGTTTATTTCCTTTCCCATATGGGAGTAAGCTATAACATAAGCACATTTATACTGGTATAAGTGCATCCATACTGGGGAGTTGTGCTACTTTAACTATACCAGCATAGTACAGCACAGAACCACATAGTTAAAGTGGTCTACATAAACATTTAGTTTATGGCAATCTACTCTGCACTACCTTGCCGAGTACTGACTGTCCCTGCGGACCCTGATGACATGCACTAACAGTTTGTTAGTGAGCTTTAATCTAGTCCCATTTCAAATCAGGGTAGATCAAAGTGCGCTAACTAACTGCTAGTGTGTGTCAACAGAGTTCACAGGACAGTTAGTGCATAGTAAGCTAGTTGAGATAGATTCATACCCCAGGTTGCCACAAACTAAATGTTCATGTAGATAAGCCCTTTTCAGTTTAAGAAACTTGGCTGAAATGGGTAACGCATCAGCCCACCCAAAGCTATTTCTTAACTAACATTTAAAATATATACAATACAGATTTTGACTTTGTCTAAAGATGAAAAAGTGATCTCTCTCTCAACCCCCCCACAAGATTGTATCAAGTTTTACTGGATTATAGTACTGGCTTCAGTATAATATTCCCGTTGATTTAAAACAGTTACAGAAATAACATGGTCTCTTTTGGCTTAATGCAATCTTTGGAGGCTGAATGACTGACTGTTTTACTGCTGTATATTCTAAAGTACAATTTATCGGTAAGGTTTATTCATTTTAAAATATTTCCTGTGCAATGTAGTCTTAAGATGCTAACATGCACCAAATGGAAATGAAACATCAAATGGAAAAAGTAAATAAGCATCAAATGGAGAAAGTAAATAAGGAATTTACTCCTTCTCATAACACAAGAACTAGGGGTCACCAAACAAAATTAATACACAGCAGGTTTAAGACAAACGAAATGAAGTATTTCTTCACATAGCACACATGGAACTTTTTGCCAGAGGATGTTGCGAAGGCCAAGACCATAACAGGATTCAAAAAAGAACTAGATAAATTCATGGAAGATAGATACATCAGTGGCTATTAGCCAAGATGGGCAGGGATGGTGTCCCTAGCCTCTGTTTGCCAGAAGCTGGGAATGGGCAACAGGGGATCGATCACTTAATGATTACCTGTTCTGTTCACTCCCTCTGGGCACCTGGCATTAGCCACTGTCAGAAGATAGGATATTGGACTAGATGGACCAGTATGGCCGTTCTTATATACTCATGAACTTACTTATATACTCATGTGGTATGGTCTCATTTGTTTTACTTACTGTTAATCCTGCACACAAATAGCTAATGTACTGTATTGCTGTCTTGACAGGAATTACAAAATGAAAGAGACAGGACCTTCCTACTTATTTTATGAGTTGTCTTAGGGAGCCTGGGTTACAAACTAACTATGATTTAATATTACAAAAAATAATAACAATCCTCACATATCTTCAGCTTGCAACTACAGCTGTTAGATGACTGTACCATAAACATGCAAAATTCTCTTACTTTCCATAGATTAATATGTCAGATAATAAACTGAAGTTAAAGTTCCTCATATAGATCTTTAGGGAACCTGAGATGAGAAGAGATTTCAGTGTCACACTTCTTGGAACTTCAAGGAATGACTGGATATAGAACAAAGAGCCACCATTTTGCTAGCATGCATGCATAACCAGTGGAGATATTATAATATCTAAGCAGTAAAGTGTAAATTACTGTAATAGAATAGTGAAAAATTAAATAACAGAATGGTGAAAATGCTCTCTCTTGCTTCATTTAAAATTTCTTTAAGTTTACAAGTGTGGGGTGTTACAGGGACAAACTGCAGAGCTTTGCAGTGTCCTGCTAATTCAAAGTTACCAGCTTAGATTTGCTTTGCTGATGTAAGAATCTCCATGAAAAATTTTAAAGCATTAAAATATTTTCTATTCAATTGCAAAGTCATTATCATAATAAAAATAACATATATATTTAAGTAGTGCCAAGAGAACTCAATTGGAACTGAGGCATCACTGTGCTAACTATTATTCAAATACAGAGTAAGAGATAATCCCTGTCCCAAAGATTTTATAACCCTATGGCCCTGATCCTGCAACTGGATCTATGTTGGCAGACACCTGTGCCAGCATGAAGCCCTGTGGACTTCAATGGTACTCCTTGCAAGCTCAGGGGTCTGCATGTGTGATGTAGGTTACAGGACTGGGCCTAAGACAAGATGTGATAGGTGGGTGTAACATAGGGTTGCCCATTTTGGTTGGACATATTCCTGGAGATTTAATCACATGACATAATCTTTAGGGCTGTCAAGCAATTAAAAAAATTAATCACGATTAATCGC